GACATTCAGGAACCAGTCTCCTGATTGTGCAGGATTCGATGAGTCTGCGTCTCTCCTACAAGGAAGGACATCACCACCTACCTGCTAAAAAAACTCCCCCTATTCAGCACCTCCGCAAGATCACACTTCGGAACCGCCTATTCGGCATTTCATCAGAGTGTACCCAAGTCGTAGAGTGTACGCTCTCACCTCCATGGTCCGCTACACTATTCAAAGCTAGAATTCTATCCTATACATTATATTATTAAACACTATTGTAAATATGTACATTATACATTTTTATACATTTATATACATTTTTACACATGGTTGTCATCAGACCTCAGAGAGGCCCGAGCTAAAAGAGCTCTTTGCTTCTGCAAGGCCTGATGTTCCCACTCAGCCCGCTCCTTCTTGCGCATGATGGAAAAAAGAAAAAAGGAAGAAAGATGTCACTCTGCAAACTTTGATTGATTTAGAATTTTCGAAATGAGAAACGATAAATGGCAACTGTAATGAATGTAAGGGTATCGTTCTGAAAAAGAAAACCGTAATCAAATCGATTTTATCTGTTCTTAGTAATAGCTCAATTTATACATGTTTCTAAACAGTGCTTCTAAAAAAATTATCGACAATCCGATTAACGCCGTATCGACGAGTGTATGTCACGATTAATAAAAAAAAATACAAGATAATAAGCGCTATATTTCACGAGGGCAAAGAAATGAATCGTGGTCACTACATACTTTTCGTACTTCAAGTGTTGTAATAATTACTCTGTAAAAGCTTCGACATTATTACTAAGTGGACACCGAGAAAGTCATCAAAGTTTTTTGAGAATAAAAATTATATGCTTCTTCTGTACAATAGTTTGGAATAGATGAATCAAGCAATCAAAATAACACATTAACAAAATAATACATCAAATTTTTACATAAATTAATTTCTTGCAATATTTGATGTTAATTTATAAATAAATAGGATTTATAGTTGATAGCAAGAATTTTTAGGAGACATACCGAATTGATGATTTATTTAATAATAAATAAATTCTATTTTAATGTGTTGATTTGATTACTTGACGATCTAAGGACTACCATACAAAAGAAGCATGTAATTTCAATTCTTCATAAGCATACTTTCTACAATATTTTTTATTGCAATAATTTTAAATCTCTGCATATGTTTACTAAAATAATTGTAAATTATATGCTTGCTATTGTTGCAAAGAAATTTATACAAAATGGTTTAAAATTATTAATCTATTTGTTTTATAATGTATTCATATAACTTTCTTATTTTATAGATCCGGAAAATTAAAAAAAATTTATCGGCTGCTCAGGCGCTGTATATATGAAGCTGCTATATATGAAGACTGCCAGTAGCGCCGAATTTTGGCCATAGGCCTACAATTAGACAAATTAATTTTATTTTGGGCCTATTACGCACCCAAATTAAAATTATTCGCTATTATAGCGTTTTTGGCTGCAATAACGCATAACTTTGGCTTGCTGTAGACGTCTAATTGGAAAAATCTGGTTTGATATTTGCATCACTAGAAGACTGTCCCAAACGCCAATTGAAAATGGATCGTCAGTGTCACAAGTTCTATTATGTTATGGAAAAAAACATTTTGCTTCCGAAGAATGATTGACGATGATAGATAGTTTCCATGCGCTACTCGAAAGAAATTCTGATTATGCACTTCGGCCTGTATTTCTTATTAACAATATTAACAATATTTTCTGATCGGATTGTTCCACTCGATAATTCGAAGAAGCATTTGCAAATACTGCACAATGATTTGTGACAGACATTGAGTTGCTTGCCATTACGACACAACAACTGTTATTATATATGATTCTCATGAAGATAGTCGTAATGCTAATATACAAAATTTGAATGGAGAAATTCGAGTTTTTGTGGATAGATTATTTCCCTTTCATGACTTTCAGAACAATAATATTTCCAATAATATTTCCTGAAGTTCGGTCGCAAGGCGACGGTTATAATTGTGGTCCTATGGCAGTTGCGATTGCTACATCGATTCTGATCGGCATAAATCCTTGCATCGTGACGTATGATCGATCTTTGCTAAGACCTCATTTGTCCGCAATTGTTTGGAAGACAAATAATAACTCATTCTCCATACCTCTACAATTCAACTGCTCTATTAACGTTATTGCCATTGGAGACATTGAAAAAACGAGAGGCGGATGCACTGAAAAAAAGACTTGCACATAACAAGGAAACTGAAAAACAGTTCGAAACGAATAGAAAAAGGTGCTTTTTCTCACAGAGAAAAATATGTTATGAATTCTGAAATAAAATGTCAGAGGGTGCGCGATCAGTACGAAAAAGAAACGAAACGTCAGAAAATGCGTGATGCATACAAAAAAAGATTTAGAAAATAAACGGTACATTAAAAGAAAATATTATTTGAAAAATAATATAATACTACCCGTGAAAGATCACCAACGAAAATTCAGACAAAAACATCCCGACCTAAAAAAATTGTACAACAAAAAATTAAAAAAAATACTAAATAAAAATTAAATAAAAAAATAAAAGGTAATAAGCGCTATATTTTACGAAGGTGAAGAAATGAATCGTGGTCACTATATGTGCATATTGAGAGCAGACAAAAAATCGGAATGGTGTTACTCTAATGATTTACAAGTTCTCAAAAAGAAATGGCAAAAAGGAGCATACATGTTATTCTTGGAGTAGATTAAGTAAATTTGGAATTTTTACATATAATGACACTTTCTGAGAATAGAACGGAATTCTTCTGATACGCTCACGTGAACCTTAATAAACTATTGAAGTATAATTAAATTTTTTCAGAATATTGAAACAATTAATCATCTGCTTTGCCACTGTATAAGGGCTGCCGTAAGCGCTGAAATAAAGCATCGATTGCTTCGGCGCCGTATAAATGCTGCCGTAAACGATGTATTAAAACATCGACTGTTCTAGCACTGTAGGGTTAACGTAAGCGCGAAAATAACACATCGGCTGCTCCGACGCTATGAATATTAATATTTGCTCGTTTCAGATAATAAGACAACGTTTTTTGCTCAATAAATCATTCATTGAAAATACGGTATAAACTCAAAATCGGAAGTTGATACAAAAATTCGAAATTTTACTAAAGAAAGATTGGAGACTTTTAATCTGAACCATTTTCATAACTTTCTTATCAATATTCCAACCATTGAAAGTTTTTTGAAAACAGATCCCCATGTTCATTTTCCAAGTCATTAACATATTGGTACTCTGAAATTACAAGCAATTATTTTTCATTGTACGGGCTAGTATGAATTTCAAATTAAATCTTAATAAATGACTGTTATATTTTAGAGAATAACATATCGCACTTATTTTCTAGAATCAAATTGTAGTCTGTTTTACTTGTATATACTTGTTCGTTTTGAACTCGCACCTTCAATAATATATGAATTACTTTTCATGATAATATATTATATTAAATTTAGATAATATATACACTTGATGTATGTGCACTTTGAACTGGCATCTTTCATAATAACTAAATAACTAATATATTAGTTACTTGTCATGGTAATATATTATTAGATAATCATTTAATTTTTTAATTTATGTATGTTCACTTTGAACTGGCACCTTTCATAATATATCAGTTACTTATCATGACAATATATTATTAGATAATCATTTAATTGTTTAATTTATGTATTGTTCACTTTGAATTGGCACCTTTAATAATACATCAGTTACTTGTCATGGTAATATATAATATTATCATCTTATTTTATGAATAAATTTAAATTTTTATATAAAGGGTGTCTCAAAATGATCTGACATTTTAAATTGCGCGCCATTTTTTTTGCAGCGAACGTAACGTACTAACCTTTAACAACTGGCAAATCAGGAAGTATTGAGGTTTAGTCATGGAGAATTACACGATCGAGCAACGCATAGAAATTGTGAAAATCCATTACAGTTATTGCAGACGAAGTTTCATGGTCGTGTTATTTCGCGCCGCGGCGATGTGAATTGGCTACCAAGATCGTGCGATTTGATGCTATTGGACTTCTTTCTTTGGGGTTTTCTGAAAGGAAAAGTGTATGCCAATGATCCACAGACCATTCCGGAGTTGAAGGAAGAAATTAGACGTACCATTAATGAAATTAGTCCGCAATTATGCCAAAATGTCATTGAAAATTTTGTCAAAAGAATGAACGTTTGCAAACAGAGTCGAGGCGGCCATTTATCGGATATTGTGTTCCACATATATAACCTCCATGTTTGTACTTTATATTAAACTAAAAACATGTGTACTTTTCAAATAAATAATATGTTTTATTAATACATTAAAATGTCAGGTCATTTTGAGATACCCTTTATATTCTAAATGAATATCTTTCCTTCGATTTATTTTAACTCACCACTGATGCCGTTCCCTTTAATACCTGAGATCGCACGAGGTCCAATCCCATATCAAAAGGATTAGGTTTCTTGAACCAAAAGGTAGAATCGACGTCCGCACTGTCCATCAGAACAAGTGTCATAGCATCCTTTCGGAACGTTGACCCATTTTTCGGGATCGAAAAGGTGCATATGACTCACAGCTACTCGCCTCTGTGCGTATACCTAAGTCTAACCATCCTTCCACACCCTCTCCATTTTTCCTCACAGTATGCCTGACCGAATTTTCAAGAGTTTGGACGTAACAAAAGAAAAGAAAATGTTTAATAATATAACAATAATATTACAAATAAGAAAAATATTAATTATAATACATAATAACATATACGTTGTTGTTGTTATTATTATTATTATTATTATTATTATTATTATTATTATTATTAGCAAGTTGACCGGCAAAAATATTTTCAAACATGTTGTTAACTAATTTTGTCGTGGTAGCCATTGACTAGGCAGGAATTTTAACTTTCGGTGCACGTCTCAATAGATGAACAGCTGATTTTGTTGAGTCGCACAGAGGAATAGGGACATCGAAAAGAACACAATTCGGATTATTGGAAGTGCTCGCTCTTTATCCGTCACAAGAAGTAGAAAATAAAAAGGCGCGCTTAGTACAGAGAAGACAAGATGATTGACAGGAGAGGTAAAAAGAGTAACATGCGTGATTCAGATAGTATAGAAGGGCGACTCAATACACATGTCGCCACATCCGGACATCCTTAGCGAGCGATGGAGTAATTTGCTATCAACAGATTTCTACCCAGCGTGATACGATCATCACATGCGATCTCTTGCATACACGGAGCCGTAATAAGAAGAGTATCTTCAGCACCAGCACAATTATCTAATAACAAAACTCGATCACAAATAAATTATGTCATAACAATGTACAATATCTTCTATAAATGTCACCGTTCCTTAGGAGGTACTATCGACTATAATATAAAAATATAACAAAAACAATAAAACAAACAAAAAAAATGTCGAAGCACAAAATACATATTAAAATATGAAACAGCAAACTCATTTGAAGTTTATTCAGCAAGTCTTCATAAGTTGGATTAATTTCATGTAACAAAAATTCTATAACTAATTTACTCATATAGCTTCTCTTTAACAACATCCATAAATGGCACATAAGTTTCAAACAGTTCCATCAAAATATATTCCGGACATGCAATACTAATACCAATTCTCCTCCATCCAGTAACATACCATTCGTTTATCGGCCCCATATCTTTTGTTGATATATCTCCTTTAGGTGACGAATTTTCTTCAAAGATAGCTTTCATATATCCAGAAAAATACAACAATACATTTTTCTCTATGAGTCTCCTGCATCAAAAGGGCACAGATGTCCATTCATATCACAAACACTAAAAAAAAATTATTTTTCTGTTAGTATATTCAACTTATGCTTCTTTTATTATTAATATTCTTTAGATACTTTATAATAACTTTAAAAATAAACGTCTCATGTTTAGAAAGCTGTTTAGAGATAAAAGAAAATTCACTTAAAATGAATTAATTTATTTTGTCATCTCTCATCACTTTCGTCTATAAAAGATTGATTTCCAACAAATAAATACAACATAGGATTAATTAAAGCTATTTATTCTTCAATTGCATCATTTGGATGTTCTTGAAACAATTTTATATCAGTCAGTTTACAGTATTGCATCGCTCTACAACACATCTTTTTATCTTGAGCTTTTAATTGAAATATTTTTTATTTTCTTCTCTGGTTCTTTTTTATCACTTCATAATTGTATCTCTTCTTGATGAATGTAAATTCATAAAACATACATAATACAAAAAAAGACATGTTTATTATCAATCAATATATATACAAAACAATGAATTATTCTATATATGTCATATTGTAATTTGTATTATCGGATTTGTATTTGGATTTTTTATTCCTCAAATCTTATTGTTATTTTACAAATTTATTTTATTCTTAAAAACATGCTTTTATTTTATATCTGTGTTTGTTGCTACATATCTCGTATTCACATATATTTAATCATCTTTATGAATTATATAGAAATAACTCCTTTTGTGTCTAAGATTTATTTTACTACTTAAATCATTATATTACTCTCGTAATCCTGAAAGTCATCTGCAATAAGCAATAAAATGACCTGGACAGCCTGCAATAACGCCAATCAATCTGAAATATTAAAATTATATATATATATACAATATAAAATGTAATTTTTTAAGTATAAAACAATTTTACCTATATTGTTTTGTCAGCATTAGCATTGTTGGCAATTCTTTTAGTTGTGGAAGCATCTTTAAGATTAGCTCTAACATCTAATTCTATAAAAATGTGGCAATTAGTTTCGGTTAGAACAGAGCAGCCACCATATTGATATCGTTATTGTAAATGATTTCATGAAAGCTTTCTAAAACACGAAAGTCTTTTTCTAAAATTATCTTATGATTAGGCATTAAAGTTGAGTGTATTATATCATGCTTGCCACACTTATTGTACTCCTCCCCGATTTGATGAGAACTTGGCAATGACTAACAGTTTTATCCAAACTTCAGCCGAAGTGTTTATAGCATCATAAGAAAAGATAATTTCGCGATGCTCAGTTTTTATAATACTTTCACATGTTTATATAAAGATTTCAATAACATAAATTGCATGACATGGGCCATTGTCTATGAATTTAAAAACACACTCGAAAAATAGATTATCAGAAGTTTTGGCAAAGGAAAAATATTCAGGATCATCTAAGATACTAGTAAAAATAATTTGTGTAATAGAATCGAAAGGACAACTGTTTCTTAAAAAATATATTTTACCATCAATTTTATAAGTCTCACAGAAGGAAGCATTTTTCAACAAATGGCGCTTTATGTTCTTGGATAATGTTCTTTATGTTCTTGGATGGACTTATTATTTAATTTAACTTCAGGATAAGCGCAAAAGAATTTTGAATGAGATGGTTTATGTTCAAAATATTTATTTAATTTTAATTGAGTAGTTTTCTGTTGTTCTACCTGTATAGGCAATTTATTTTTATTTTTCCTTTCCACAAATAGCAATGATTCAGGAATAATATAAGGCGTATGACTTTGTTCATGCGATTTTTTTCCGAAATTCGAGGCTTTATTGTAAAAAAACTGGTTATACATTTATGATTCAAAGTATTGTCCATCGCTGGCCATTACTTTCTCCCATTTTTCGGGCAGCGTACGAATCCCGCGTCGAAAAAATTGATCATCTTTTGACGCGATCCACGAATCGATCCAATTTTTATTCAATTTACTTCTTCATAAGACCGGAAGTGCTGGTCAGTCAGGTCGTGTGCCATTGATCGAAACAAGTGATAGTCAGAGGGAGCAACGTCTGGAGAATACGGCGGGTGGGGTAGGACTATAATATACTACGCCGAGCTGGTCCCACTAAATATAGAGCATGATCTTGGAGCCGTGAATATTCGGTTTGGAACGTCGACGTGGAAGCATGGCCGGGAACTCCCCATGATTTTCTGCGCTTGGGATTATCGTAATGAACCCATTTTTCGTCCCCAGTCACAATGCGATGCAGAAAGCTCTTCCGTCTTTGCCTTTCAAGCAGCTGTTCACAAGCAAACAAACGTCGTTCAACATCTCTCGGCTTCAACTCGTACGGCATCCAATTTCCTTGCTTCTGAATCATTCCCATGGCTTTGAGACGTTTTGAAATAGCTGATTGAGTCACTCCTAATGATCGTGCCAATTTTTTTTGATTTTGATAAGAGTCTTGATCAAGTAATGCCTTCAATTCTGCATCTTCGAAAACCTTCTCTCTTCGCTATGCTGATCTTCGACGTGAAAATCACCGTTCTTGAAGTATTGAAAGCACTTATGACACGTTCTTTCACTAATAGCGGCTTCGCTATAAATATTTGAAAGCATTCGATGAGCCTCAGCCACAGATTTCTTCATTCTATTGAAGCAGAAAATTAAAACCTCCCGCAAATGACAAGAATTTGGCTCATAAACTGACATTTTCAATCGAGAATAACTTTATGATGCAGACACAAATCGACTAATGTTTCTTTTTGGATTATGTTGACAGATTCCCAAGTTTATTGTGTGACGTCTATGATCTATTTATTTCGATCACCACTTACCGCTAAAGCCATCTATACGAAAACCGAATGAGCAAAGTCATACACCTAATAGTTTTCGAATTAGCTTCTTCAGTTTCAATAATTTTTGCACAAAAAATCTGATTTTCAAAATTATCTGATTCTGAATTTACTGCTGAATGTGACAAATTATCTCTGTCACAACTCGAAACAATAGAGATATCGACATTATCTATATCTTTAATTGAATATTCAAAGTTTTTATTATCTGATTCTGTCATGTCATTCGAAATATAGTCCTTTCTTTCTTCATTTCCATTCAATAAAAATAAAGAGTCTGCTTTTCCACACCAGTTTTCTTTTAATAACAAGTCTGAATCTTCAAATTTAGAAGAATGTTCCATGTTAAAATTTTGTACACTAAGATCATCAAGAGTTTTAGTTAGGTTTATTCTTGTTATTGGTTGAACAATAGCATGTTGACAAAAATCTTTTAGTAGTATGTTGACAAAGATCTTTTGGCTTTCAACTTGGCAATGTTTTTCCATTCACAACAAAATTTTGCATTTTGGATGAAAAACTTTGTGTACCTCCTATTAAATCACAGATATGAATTTTGATGAAGTTGTCGATTCTTTGTCGAAGTGAATAGTTCTTAAATATGTCATTTTTAATATCCCGGAAGATTTTTTCACAATAGCTTGGATGGCTTGCATAAAATATGCACTGCTGTCCAAAGTGGATATTCTTTTCCGATTTTTAACATCGATCTATCATTTTGGGTAAATAAAAAAAGTTGCAATTTTTACCCTCCTGAATTGATGATTGGACTGCAATTCTTATATTTTCAAAAAATTCGTTTAATATTGTCATCACTTATTTCGCAAACGTCGTCATTTAACTGATCATTATTAGAATCTATAATTTGCAAATAATTGTCTATATCAGTAGGACGTTCTTTCATTAATGGCTCCAATTTTTCTCTTGCTTGTTCAGCTGTTTTTACTCATTGATTTATTAATTTTACACTTACGACTGAATCCTGATAGTACTGAAGAGCAACAATACACGTAAGCGACAATATTTCAATGAAATCTTTGTAACTTTGACAATCATCAAAGCGATGCATAGAAATCAATACAGAAAGCAAAGGATGACTTTTCAAAGCAGACCATCGATTAACCATGTGAATTATATGTACAACATCAAGTCTTATGTATGTTGAAATCCATTCTCGTGAAATATATTCTCCAGTTGAAGCAGCATTGAAATAAATTTCAATATATTTTTTTATAATAATGTCATTGAAAGCTTTCGAACAAAGCTAATAACATCACTCTGGCATAATCGACGATCACTTGGATTGGCTTAATCATACCTAGCCATAATCTCAACCAGTGTTCAATTGTTTTAGTTTCTTGTGATTCTGTTAATATACTGATAAAGATACATTGTCAAAATGTATGGCAATCACATATAAGAAAATATGAACTGATTTTATTAATCAATAAATCTAATAATCTTTTCAATTTCTTTACAATACTGCCAGTTGTATCAATGCTAACAGACAAAGCATTTATACATATTATGATATTGTCATTAACAATGATTTGTTCAGCGCGCGCGCAGTGTCATAACACACTTTGGCACACAAATGGCAAAAATAACTTACTACAGCAATAGAACTTTTATAAAGGTTTTCGAAATTTAAACGATAAATTGCTTGAATTACACCTTCGTCTTTCAGTTTTTTGAAACTTAATTCATCAATGGCTTCATTTTTAGCATGTCGGAGTACATCCAACGAAGGTATTATTGGTGCATCAACCTCTTCAAAACGCAATTTTTTTCATACTAATCTATTTCGCAAATTTGAACATCCTTCTGTGATTGCTGCTTTGCCTATTTGTTTTCATTTTACTTCAAAGGACGCTGCAAAATTTCATGGATTTGATTCCTGGTATCCCATGTTTTCACACGTATACAAAGCTTATCAGTGCTGGTCGATTCTGTATCAACAACGCCTTTGAAAATATTACCACACGTTTTATTTTTACAGCTTTACCGATGATCTTGATGTAATATTTGCTTTGGGAAGATGTATTTACACCGCCTCTAACAAAAGTATATGCGCAAGGTAGATTATGTTGTTCATAAAATGCATCAGCAACGATGTTAGTTCATATCTATAGTCTTAATGTGTGATAAGATCTTTTTGATTTTATCTCTGATTGAAATGGTTTAATTTGCCCTTATTCATTTGCACTTAATATTAAATCAAACGAACAAGTAGATGTCTTGACAAGTAGAATCAAATAAAAAATTATTAAAATTCGTTGATTCATTATTATTATCAACTTCACTGGAAATTGTAATATTTATTAATCTAACAAGTCCAAATCCATTTTTTGTCTTGCGAAAGAAAATATTTCTCATTTATTATATTTAACATTAACCCATCAATTATGAGCACTCCAAGCATTTTGACTCATCTTTTACTCAAGCATCTTTTATTCATTTGCTTTCAAATTGGGTTTGAATAATTAGATAATTCATCATTGGCAAAATAATCCGAAAATTCTATAAAAATAGTCATTGCAACATCAATAGTTAATTTATTTTCTCTCAGCATTTTCAAATCTTTTTGACATACATTTAATAAAATTATGTTTCATTACAAAGTGTTGTAATAAAGTGAATATTTTGTTCAAAAAATTTTAGAATAATATTCTAACAAACTATACTTTTCTTTGATAATTTTTTTGTTTCTTTGTGATCTTTGTTAAACCACTGAATGCTCTGCTTAGGGGCATAATGAACAAAGGTTATTCATATTCTAAAAAATAAAGATTATGTTATATAAAACTATGCTTATAAAAGAAAAGTATTGCGTTTACTTTTTAAAAACGTGATGTGTTTAAAACAATGTTTGAGATAATTGTACATAAAATAGCTCAATAAATAGCTTACCAGTAATTGTGGTGAAATATGTCCATGAACGATATAACAATACAACAATACAACAATAAAATTGATTAATAAATAATCCATTTTAAATTCATCGCCACATCGCAACGCTTATTGTAACTCGTTTTTTCTTTTATTGAAATCAAATTGAAATTATCGATTTGTTGAGTCATAGATGGCATTTGTTGAGATTCGCCTGAGTCATAGATGGTAATAATAAAAGAGAAAGAAAAAGAGAGAGAGTCCACTTTTCTTTCTGCATAAAACTGGACTGAAAGCAATGATTGAGAATGTAATAAGTGTAAATTACTTCGAAACTGATATATCTCGTTTTCAGTTATATTTGACACTTTTAGCCATGCTAATAAAAGAACAAATTTTACTTCATAGTAATAACAACCAGTGCCTTTGTCCAAAAGAATCTTTTAGAATAAAATCGACAAAGTAGAATTTAGTAACCACATATCATTGTTCTCATCAAGATCTAGTTATAGCTCCACTGATTTGTTATATAACTGTTGTCAATAGCTGCAATTGATTTAGTCTAAAAGTAAGTATAAACCGAACCAGTTAACATCTGGAATCAGTTCGCGTTTTCTTTGAACTTCAAATTCGTTCTGTAATATAATTATATTTATAATATTTATTTTTTATGTATTACTTGTCATATCTATCAATATATTAAATTCATTCGTATCAAGTTTTTTTTTAGAAGCAAATTAGCTTTATACAGAAAGGATTAATAAAAATTTGACTCGAATTATCGTCAGTTCTTTTATTATCGCTCTCGTTCATCAGTCACGCTCTAAATTCACGTCTGCCAGATTGTATAGACAACAATGGACAATATATAGTACTTGATGTTCTCGCCATCTGGTCGTGTTTTGCTATTGTTCCCTAGAATGTCCCACAGTTAGCAAATATTGTACATGCAATATTTCGCATAATTGCAAAAATATTAGGTGTTGGAATTAATTCGTAGCGTTTTTTAATGAAAGAATGTTATTTATTTCACATGAGCATTAAAAAATACATTAATGAAAGTACTTCCCATCACTTGTAAAACGCTACGAATTAATTCCAACACCTAATATATAATTTTTTAAATGACAGTTTTATACTGGACATACTGTTCAAAAAATAATAGATTCGAGACACATCATCGAAAACTGTTAAAGATACTCATTAATTTTGTTATGATCGAAAAAGAACTAGGAATATCGAAATACTAGATTATCGATCGCGCCTGACAGTCCTGATAGTACTTTTGGAACAGTGGTGTCAAAATCTATATTTCGGTCAATTACGCAATCTTTAAATATTTAATTAAAATTATTTCGATGACTCACAAACCTTTTCAATGGCACGTCATAATTCTTCATACGGAATGCAAACGATACCATATAAGAACTTTGTTTAATTTGCTTTCGGCTTATTTTTTCGGATAAGTACATTGTGTCAAAAAATAAATAATTAATTACAATTAACAGAACAACTCACAAATTTTTTCAATTGTACTTCAAAACTCTTCATACGAAATACAAATGTTTTTATATTAGAGTTCTTTCGAAAGACTTCAAGGTCAAGTATACTGCAGTGCATTAATTCGCTGGGTCATAATAGTGGCCCGACTTATCGACGTTTATTTTTTACTTAAATACTATTAACTTTACAGAAAAATTGCAACAGATAAAAATCATTATTTTCTTCTCATAAAACTCTAAGAATTTTTTCAGAATTTTTTATCAACTTTTTAGTACTGCATTTTCTTTTTTCGTCGGGCCGCTACTATGATCCAGCGACTTAATGTTCTATACGTACATACGAATGCTGAAACAACCGATTTGAGCAGCTCGTGAAAATTTATCTTAAGAGAAAATTTATCTTACATGAAATGTGGAAATGCGGAAGACAAAGTTAAATAAATTTTATTTCCTGTGTTTCCGTGTGTTCTGTTCTGCCTGTTTTGATCTAATATTGGGTCATCTAAAAAGTATCCACGGTTTTTTGTCACTAGATGTGTGTTGATGGTCATATATCTAGTGACAAAGTACCGCGAATACTTTTTAGATGACCCAATATATTAACAAAAATTGTAATGAATTAAGTGAATACAATTTCTTAAAATGAATGACAAAGTATATTTGTCATTATATCGTTCCGCTTTTCCGCGGAAATTGTGCTCCATGTAATATTGTATTAGGAGATCAAAACAGATGAAATAGAACGCGCGGAAACGCAGAAATCTAGTAAAGTTTAGTTAATTTCGTCTTTTGTGTTTCCACATTTCCGCGCTTCATGTAATGGTACCCTAATGGTGCGGTCTCATGATGCGGAATTGGCGCAATGCAGAATTGGCGGAGCGCTCGTGATTGGTCATAGTTTCATTCCGTCGATTCCGCCGTTTTCTGTTGCGCAAATTTATTTCTTTTACGAATTCCGCCGATGTTTGCATGTATGTACATATATATACTTATAAAAATTAACCTCGTTAAGCTGGTGTAAAGAAAAATGCGAAAATAATTCAGGATATGAATTAGTCTCCGCATCATAATCACAATGCATAATTATCACCGTATGATTTCATGTAGACAATCATCACCAGTTAAAATTAAACAAAATTCTTTTTTGTTCATTATCTAATTTTGGAGGAAACCTTCCTGTTTATATAAAACAATTAATTCCTTTATCAGACTTACGATAATATACTTTAATATATAAAAATATAATTGAAACTGTACAGCATTACCTATTCCTATTTCTGTATTATTTTTTATTAGACATATTGTATAGTCATCTTGGTTATTGCATTTTTTAATTAATGAAGAACATAGTTGCAACAACATATATCATAATTGCAACAATATATATCACCTCATAATCATGCTTGATGACATCTTCTTTATCTGATGTCAGTTTTGTTAAATTATATATAAAATTAAACTTAACTTATGTTCAGACACTTCAATATTTTGAAGGAGTGACGGTTAAAATTTACAATAAAACAATTTCTAATTTTTGTATTATGTTTCAAAACCTACAATTAAATCCTATGACAATAGCATTTGAAGTCTATTACAGAGAATGGTGCAAAAAATTTTGTCTTACAGTGTTAGTTACTCATCCATTTTATTGATCAAATAACAATCAAAAAACGTATAATGGAATGGATTCCGATCAAAATAATTAAATTATTTCCTACATTTCTATTGTGTTTTTTAAAGAAATTGTAGGAAAACTAAATAATTTCGATCGGAACTCATTCCAAGCAATTCCATAATACGTCCTGGAATATCAAAATACTAGAGAGACTACCCTCGTGTCTAATCGAATTTCCGTGACCGTAGCACCTATATCTATATTTCGATCAAATATATGATACTTTAATATTTAATTAAAAATGTCTGGATGACTCACAAATGTTTTTAATGGTACTTCATAATTCTTCATACGAAATACAAACGATTCTATATATAAACTTTGTTGAATTTAGATCTGGTTAATTATTTCAGTCAAGTACATGGTCCAAAAAAGAATGATTAATTGTAATTAATAGAATGACTCAAACCTTTTTATTTGCACTTCAAAACTCTTCATACAAATGATTTAAAATGATAATTTTTACAATTGGAGGTTTTGTCCGGTCACGTACATACGAATGTGTGCACGAAAGTATTTAGGGATATTGTAATTGGAAAGCACTGTATGTAATCTTTCTACCATGCATGTCTCCTTTCTAATAATTGTATGTCATGGTTTTAATAATGCTCACGTGTATCAATCATTGAAATTGTTGAATTGTGTCTGTTTGGAAACAGAAGTTAGAACAGAAGAAATCATTGATGTTGTTTTATATGTATATTTTTATTTACTATAAAACTGTTACATATATACATATGATATATAAGTGGAATAGATCAGTTGAAGAGAATGTTTATGATTTATGTTTAACATGCAGTTAACCATTCTTGTTGCTTTACACATGTGTTTAATTAATTAATAATGTAATATTGGGAATTAATAGTTCCTTTCGTTATTAAGAAAAAATAATGGAAAAAGGAGCAATGTTATGGATACTTACTCTTGTTATGCTGGTTGGCTCTTGTTTGGCTGGATCATTACCATTAGTCATGACTTTGTCTGAAGTAAAATAATTTTTTATAATAAATAGTTTTTGTATCTTACATATTAGATTTCCTAAATATATCAAAACATGCTATATGGTTATATAGTATACATATTTATTTTCTATAGGATAAATTACAATTAGTATCAGTATTAGGAGCAGGTCTTCTTGTTGGAACTGCATTAGCAGTGATTATACCTGAAGGTATAAGAGCTTTATTCACTGGTGAAATTACTAATGAAAAACAATTACATGGTAATTTATTATTGTTTTCTTAAATTAGTTTATATAATTGTATTTTTATATATTTAAATTTATATTTTTAAATAATTCTGTTTTTACAGGTGATTTACATTCTTTAATTGGAATTAGTTTAGTGCTTGGTTTTGTATTTATGCTTTTGATTGATCAATGTTCAGCAAAAAAAAGTGATGGAAGACAAAAAAGTGTTACAGCAACTTTAGGTCTTGTAGTACATGCAGCAGTTGATGGAGTTGCATTAGGAGCTGCTGCTACTACATCTCAAACTGATGTTGAAATGATAGTTTTTTTGGCAATAATGTTGCACAAAGTAAAATTTTTAATCATATAATCTTATAACAATTAACAGTTAATAAGAACTTAATAGAAAATATAGTATTAACGTAATTATGTCATTTTGTCAATTGTTATTTAAAAAAAATCTAAATTTTTTTTTTAGGCACCAGCTGCATTTGGACTTGTATCATTTCTTCTTCATGAAGGTGTAGATAAAAAGAGGATAAGCAGACATTTATTAATTTTTTCTCTTGCGGCACCATGTCTTACACTTGTGACATATTTTGGGATTGGAAAGGTGAGTAGTACAAAATATAAAAAAAAAGCGTTCCTATAGTAGATTTTCAAATCCTATTTATATGTATGGTAACATTGAAAATAGTATTCAAAATATGATAAATTATGATAATATGTGTGATAATATAAATTGTGATAAATTGTGTGTGATAATATGTACTAATATGATAAATTGTGCAATTGAACAATCACTGAGAAAGCATTCGAACATTAGTTCATTTTTTTGCTTATTTTTTATTAGTAAACAAAGTCTAAAATCGATTTTTAGATAAAATTATGATTCTGTTAATATAGATTATAAAATTATAGGATTTTGTTTATGATAGCGAGATAACAATTTTAAACAAGATTAATGAAAGAATTATTTCTGTTTAAACTTAATTTAAATATATGCAGCTTTCATAAGAATAAAACCTTTATTACATGATATGATTTTTCTTCCACAATAATACATTTTTATTTTGAGAAATGTTATTATATTTATTTTTCTATTGTGTTATGTTTTTCTTTTAAGCAAGTTTTTGTATTTAAGCAAGTTTAGTTTTAGTTTTACAAGTAAAAATTGAAAATATGGATAAATGAACGATTTTTAATATTTATAATTATACTGTGTTTAATTTTTGTTGAAAAGTCGAACATATTTAGAGTTTCATTAATGATAAGAAAAACATCTATAAGTGTGTTTAAATGATCTTGTCTCCGTATAAAAACAAATAGTTTCATATATTTTATGCGTATTTACTGCATATTATACTACTGTTACTAAAACTTTTTATTTCGTTTTTACTAAATTTTACTATATATTTCAGGGGTCTTAGTTTTAAATTATAATTTTAATTTATAGTTATAAATTACAGTTTTAAATTTAAGGGAATCCTATAGACACGATTAGTCATATTGTAAATAGCACTTACACATAGACGATTGACACATCACTGTATCTATGGCTGGTATTCATAGTCGATTCTTATATTTGAGGTTGTCTTAAGTAGTTTTAAGATGTTATAAGCCAATTAAGGAGCTATACTAGCATCTTAAGACATTACTTGATGATCTTAAAATAAAAACCGACTATAAATACCAGCCAATATCTCACTCACGCATGCCACACATACACATAAATTTTTGTGTAACAATTACGTTTTAATTAGACGTCTAAATCTAATTTTAAGAATTCCACGCTGTTTCTTCATACAAATTATTAATCTGTGGACTACTATTTTATAAGTATAGATTGCAAAACTTTTATATGAAGCAAATGTCACAATGTGACAACTCTGAAACGCCATATTGGATTAAGAAATGTAAAGAAAGTAAAAATCTCAATTTCGAATTTTTTTGTCGTT